ACGCAAAAGCTGAAGAAGCAAAAAAGAGCTTTAAAGGCTGCAGCAGCAGCCCAAAAACAAGCAAAGCAAAGGAATCCAGATAGCCCTGCCAAAGCCGAACCAGAGATACTCGGAGACAACCAATAAATTCTGTTCAATCATTGCTTTCTGTCTTGAAGAATGATAGGAGAGACAGTGGGGCCCTTTTTGGTCTGAGGAGGAGGAGAAATTTATTCTTTGATTCAGCTCTGGGATCTCAGAGTTGTGTGAGGCAGAGTCCCTGCCCTCACCCACCAGGGGACACACACTCATGACACACCTCTCACACTCATACAAACAATTACCTGTCATCCAGGTGATATATGTTTCAGTGGAGGCAAGACAGAGTATGTGACAGCACAGTGGAAGTGTGGCTGTATGGGTGAAAAGAACAGCTGTAAGAGATGCCTTCCGGACTGGGCTCTAAAGCATAAGTAGGAGTTCACTGGATATAAACAGGAAGAGAAAGGCTCCTGGGCAGAAGGAATTGCAAGTACAAAGGCAAAGAAGTCTAGAGAGAGAGGCATGCTGTATTCAGAGACTGGGGAGAATAAAAAATAAAGCTTGAAAAGCTGAAGCTGAGGTGTAAGAGGCTTTATATGCTAGGCTGAGAAGATTGTACACTGTCTACGAGGGAGTGGGGAGACAAAAGTTTTAAAACTGAAGGAGTAGCTGGGCGCGATGGCTCACACCTTTAATCCTAGCACTTTGGGAGGCCGAGGTAGGCGGATCACGAGGTCAAGAGATCGAGACCATCCTGGCCAACATGGTGAAACCCCGTCTCTACTAAAATACAAAAATTAGCTGGGCGTGGTGGCACACACTTATAGTCCCAGCTACTCAGGAGGCTGAGGCAGGAGAATTGCTTGAACCCGGGAGACGGAAGTTGCAGTGAGCCGAGATCACACCACTGCACTCCAGCCTGATACCTGGTAACAGAGCGAGATGCTGTCTCAAAAAAAGTAACTGAAGGAGTGATGATAATAACAGGTCTGTGTTTTAGATAGTTAAGCAACAGCTGTGTGGAAGGTAGATGGGAGGAGGAGATCAGAGCAGTGTATTGGGCGTGGGGGATCAAAACTACAAGTCCTACCCCCAGGAACATGTACATACACAAAGCATTGCTTATAAATTCTAGGGAGTTATGGATACCCGCATCCCCATAAAGCCCATCCATTTACACCAGGTTAAGTACCAACGCCTTGAAGCCTGAGCATGCTTGGTATGTTTGAAGAACCCAAGGAAGACTGTGTCTAAAACAGAACAAAGAGAATAGTGAGAAGATAGGAGGTCAGAAAGGTAGGCAAATACCAGGTGATGTAGAGCTTTCTGGGTGTTTTAGTCTGCTCAGCCTGCCATAACAAAATACTGTAGATTAGGTGACTTAGGATTTTTATTGTGAGTTCATTTTTTCAGTTCTGGAGGCTGGAGATTCCAAGATCAAAGTACCAGCCAATTCAATTTCAGGTGAGGACTCTTCCTAGCTTGGAAAGGCCACCTTCTCAATGTCATCACATGGCCTTTCCCTCCTTCCATGCACTGGGGAAAGATCATGCTCTCTTACAAGGCCCCTAATCCCATCATGAGGACTGTACTCATGACCTTATCTAACCCTAGTTACCGCTGAGAGGCCCCATCTCTAAATACTGTAACACTGGAGTTAGGGCTTCAGCATATGAATTTAGGGGCACACATTCAGCCCATAACACTGCAGAAAAACGTTGGACTTCACTCAGGGAAGGGAAGCCACTGAGGAAAGTCAAAAAGGGAGAAAGGTGTATTAAAGTGCTATCCAAAGAGCAACTGGAAATTTAGATCTAGGACTCAGTAGAGGGGTCTGGACTAGAGAGGTTTGCGAGTTGAACCCATGGGTGTAAATGAAACTGCCCGGGGACAGAGTGTACAAGAAAAAATGGGCCGGGCGCAGTGGCTCACGCCTATAATCCCAGCACTTTGGGAGGCCAAGGCGGGTAGATCACAAGGTTAGGAGTTTAAGACCAGCCTGGCCAAGATGATGAAACCCCATCTCTACCAAAAATACAAAAATGTGGCAGGCGCCGGTAATCCCAGCTACTCAGGAGACTGAGACAGGAGAATCGTGTGAACCCAGGCTGCAGAGGTTACAGTGAGCCAAAATCATGCCACTACACTCCAGCCTGAGTGACAGAGTGAGACTCCATCTCAAAGCAAAAGGGCCACATCTGGATGAGGATGAGTCCTGAGAGCTTAGCCTGAGTCAGAAGGAGCAGCTGAGCTGGAGGAGAAGGTGAAGGAGAGGTAGAACAGAGAGCCTAGGAGTCTGCACATGCAGAAATGAGAGGCTCAGAACTAAAGATGAACTATTCAGGTATCACTTCCAGGAATTGTAGGGAAGGCCTTTAATGGGGCAGGACTTCCAAGTGGCCAAGGCTAATTGGAGGTACTGTGTCAGAGGGCCAGGTGCCAACAGTTAAAGGGGCTAGCCCAGGGGAAAGAAAGAAAAAGGAACACATTTTAATGGATCAGGCCCTACTGCAAAGGCATTTGTGTGTTTTGGTTTGGTTGTTTTTTTTAGAGACAGGATCTTGCTCCGTAGCCCCAACTGGAGTGCAGTTCACTAACTTCAAATTCCTGGGCTCAAGCAATCCTCCTACCTCTGCCTCCTAAGTAGCTAGGGCTATATAGGACTATATTAAGCCACTGTGCCCAGTTAATACTTGTATTTGTTGTGGAGACAGGGTCTCACTTTGTTGCCCAGGTTACCCAAACTCCTGGCCTCAAGCAATCCTTGGCCTCTCAAATGCCTTGGCCTCTCAGAGCACTGGGATTACAGGCCTGAGCCACTGCATCCAGCCAAAAGGCATTGTTTTAAGTGCTGCCTTAGGGACATTATCTAATATTCACAGCCACCTTTACTCCACACTTTGGCTAATTATCCTCATTTTAGCCAGGAGAGATGAGAGAGCCCTGAGCCATGAGAGAACTGAGACTCAAAGAGGTGGGGTAACTTGTCCAAATTTATATAGCTGGGAAGATCAAGGTCTAGGATTCAAAGCTGACTCTGTCTTGACTTGGAGCCCATGTCCTGTTCACTATACCACACTGCTTAGGGATCAAGAAAAAGGTCTGAGAAGCTAAAGGAAGAGTCTATACTATAGCAAACTCAAAAGCTTTTAGGAGGCAGGCAGGCAACAAAAACGCATGAAGGCCTAACATGAAGTAATGATGCTAAGGTGTTTATTACATTCCTGTCCTAGTTGTATTCCCTTTTATTTAGACAGAGTTTTTGCTCTGTTCCCCAGGCTGGAGTAGTATTGCAATCTCAGCTCACTGCAACCTCCCTGTCCCAGGTTCAAGCAATTATCCTGCCTCAGCCTCCTGGAGTAGCTTGGATTACAGGTGTGAGCCATCACACTCGGCTAATTTTTTTGTATTTTTAGTAGAGATGGGGTTTCACCATGTCGGCCAGGCTGGTCTTGAACTCCTGACCTCAACTGATCCGCCCGCCTCAGCCTCCGAAACTGCTGGGATTACAGGTGTGAGACACTGCGCCTGGCCTGTATTACCTTTTAAAACAGAGCACAGAGCAGGCAAAATAACAAAATTAAACAAAGCCTTAGGCCACTAGTAGTGGGATACTGTATAATCCTAATGATGAGATATCAGTTACGGGAAGGACTAAGAAGTATTCATGGTGAAGCAGTTTCATTGGGGTTCAGGGAGGGTAATACCAGTTGCAATGAGGTGGGGAGTGAGGATGTTAAGGAAGTTCCAGTTGTGAGTGTTGTCAACTTGTTTAAAACACTTCACTGGAAGGAAAGGAAGGAAAACAGACTAGCGGGGATATGAGATGGAAGGAGAATGTTAATATGGGGACTTGAGCTTGGTTATGTCAGGGCAAGACTTTCCAGTGGTGTGGTTGAGGAAGAGGCAGCCTGCTAATGAGTTCAACTGTACAGCAGAGAGGAGGTAGCCAGGTGCAGGAGACAGCTCTAAAAAGGTAGTTGGCGGGCCTTTAATCCCAACAACTGAGTCTGAGGCAGGAGAATCACTTGAGGCCAGGAGTTCTAGGCTGCAGTAAGCCATGATGTTGGGAGTTCAAGACCAGCCAGACCAACAAGGAGAAGCTCTGTTGCTACTAAAAACACAAAAACCTAGCCAGGCATGGTGGTGCATGCCTGCAATCCCAGCTACTTGGGAGGCTGTGGCAGGAGAATTGCCTGAACCCAGGAGGCGGAGGTTGCGGTGAGCCGAGATCGCACCACTGCACTCCAGCCTGGTCGACAAGAGCAAACTGCGTCTCAAAAAAAAAAAGAAAGGAAAAGAAAAAAGGAAAAAAAATGGTTGGGAGGCCTTCGGAACAGCGTCGAGGAGGTAACTTCCCGGAGTCCCCAGCGCACAACCTCTGGGAGCTGGACACACGCGGACGGGCCTGGGCTGCTTCACCGAGTATAAAACCAGGATGGCCTTCAAGAAAATTTTAGGGAGGTGACGTAAACGACTCAGAACTTCTGATCCTTGCCCCGTCTAAAAGAAAAGTCAGTTACCATTTTTATTGAGTGCTTTCGGGGCGTTTCCATGGTCTCACTGATTCCCTTCAGCCGTCCTGTGATGAGTGCCAGCTCCATGTTACAGAAGAGGAAGCCAAGGCTCAAAGCCTGTCCCAAGTCACACAGCAACAAATCACGAGGCGTGATTCCAACCCAGGTCCGTCTGACCCGAGCCTGCTCTAAAGCTGTTCTGCCTGGGCTTTCCTCTCTCATAGGCACCTGAGGCCCCGCGCCAGCGCCCGGGTCCCGAGCTCCAGGCTGGCTGTGTCAAGTCCACCCGCAGACACTGGCCCGGCCCTCGCCCTTACGAGGGAGGAACTAGACCCAAAGGTACACCTCCTCAACTGCGGCCAACATCGCGCCCGAGTTCGGCTCGGAACAGTCCACCCGGGACAGTCCACCACCCAGACCAATTAGCGCCCGTCCTCAGGGCACCTCCCACCAAACCGCCTTCTGATTGGCTTTTTTTTTCCCGTCGCGGCGTTGCCCTAGCAACCAGACTGCTGGGACGCGGCGGCCTGGCCTTTAGGCCACTGACTACCGAACCCTGGGGCTCTTCACCAGCCCAGCTCGCTTCCAGCACCATGTCGGTGCGGACGCTACCGCTGCTCTTCTTGAACTTGGGCGGGGAGATGCTTTACATCCTGGACCAACGGCTGCGGGCCCAGAACATCCCGGGAGACAAGGCCCGCAGAGGTGAGAGGCCCCCGGCCCACTCAGCCAGACCCACAACCCTCAGCCCGGCCCTCTCACCATCACCCTAACACCCACAGCCAGACCCGCACCCCTACACACTTCACTCTTAGAACCAGGGACCTTTCTTACAAGCCACAAACCCCATCCAGTTGGAGCCCGTCAGGAGTCAAATCCCCCAAAAGCTTTTTTCACAGCAGAGGAATTTAATACGCCCAGTGGACCTTAGGATGCCTCATCTTCCTAATTTCCCCATCTCTTCAAATGCGAGAGGTGATTTCCCAATCTCTTATATCAATCAGTGCCTTCCAAATGTAGGAGTCCCAGCTGCCCACCATCTGGCGTCATACCCCTTGCTAGTCCAAACACATCCTCTTTACCCCCAAGGAAGAGGTTCTGATTTGTTTTTTGTTTGTTTGTTTTGTTTTGTTTTTTTGAGACAGCGTTCCACTCTGTCACCCAGGCTGCAGTGTCGTGGCACGATCTCGGCTAACGGGGCAACCTCCGCCTCCTAGGTGCCAGCTATTTTCGTGCCTCAGCCTCCCAAGTAGCTGGGATTACAGGCATGCACCACCACGCCCGGCAATTTTTTGTATTTTTAGTTGAAATGGGGTGTTGTCATGTTTCTCAGGCTGGTCTTAAATTCCTGGCCTCAAGTGATCGACCCACCTGAGCCACCCCAAGTGTTGGGATTACAGGCGTGAGTCACCATGTTGGGTCCAGGTTCTGATTCTTCATTCCTTTATGGTAATATCTTTCCACATAAGCTGGAGATTGGTCTTACTCATGTCAAAAGCTATTTCTAGAAATTTGGGGTTCTAAAATAATATAGCTAAATACAAAAAAGTAAGGAAGTTATAAATCTTTCTCCTCACAAGTCTTGGAGGGGAATACAATTGTGAAAATAATTATTTGAGAGCTTTGAAAATGCAAAATCTGGGCTGGGCACAGTGGCTCACACCTGTAATCCCAGCACTTTGGAAGTCCGGGGCAGGCGGATCATGAGGTCAGGAGTTTGAGACCAGCCTGGCCAATATGGTGAAACCCCATCTCTACTAAAAATACAAAAATCAGCTGGGCATGGTGGTGCACACCTGTAATCCCAGCTACTCAAGAGGCTGAGGCAGGAGAATTGCTTGAACCTGGGAGGCGGAAGTTGCAATGAGCCGAGATTGCTCCATTGCATTCCAGCCTGGGCAACAGAGCAAGACTCCATCTCAAAAAAAAAAAAGAAAGAAAGAAAGAAAATGCAAAATCTGGCTCCCGTGGACACCACACTAATCCCCAGAAAAATGACAACTCAGAACACTCTGTTCCTTTTCCTCTTTTCCTCCCTTCTCAGCAAAAACTGCTTATACCAAATTTCCTAGATTAAGTATGAAGGAAATATTATATTTCAAAGCAGAAGAGGAAAAGTGGAAAAGGCAATTGACATGGCCACTAATTAGAACATTCTCTCCACTAATCTTCCCCCCCCCCGATGGAGTTTCACTCTTGTTGCCCAGGTTGGAGTGCAGTGGCACGATCTCAGCTCACTGTGACCTCGGCCTCCCAGGTTCAAGCAATTCTCCTGCGTCGGCCTCCCGAGTAGCTGGGATTACAGTCATGCACCACCACACCTGGCTAATTTTATATTTCCAGTAGAGATGGGGTTTCACCATGTTGGACAGACTGATTTCAAACTTCTGACCTCAGGTGATCCGCCCACCTCAGCCTCCCAAAGTACTGGGATTCCAGGTGTGAGCTACTGAGCCCGGCCCTCCATTAATCTTTATATGCTCAATTAAAAACTGAGCATACATTTTCAGATATTAACTATTTTGTGTATGTGACTGAGTCCAAGTTCGTGCATAAAGAGCTAAAAAGGACTCCCTATAGCATACCCCCTCCATTCATTCTGCACATTACAGCCAGTGAGCTTTCTAAAATGCTTATCTATCCATACTTGCCCCTGCCTAAAACCCTTTGTCACCTTTCCACTGCCATCTGGGTTAAGACCAGTTCCTGCACAGGACATTTCAAGGCCCTTCCTAATCTGATCTCTGTCTTCCTCTGCAGTCCTGTCTTCCACCACTGCCTGCCTTCTATTTCCCAATAATACCAAACTGCTTGCAGATCTCCACTTAAACCATGTTTGTTCATGTTTCTGTGCTAGTAATTCCCATCCCTACATTCTTCCCCTTCAGTCCTACATTATTCAGCTTAAGAATTATCTCCTTCAGGAAGCCTCCCCATATGCAGAAAGGGCCTGCACATGCTCTCATAGCACCCTGTGCTCCCATAGCACCCCATGCCTGCCTCTCGCGACCTTATCCCTGGCCATACTATACTGAAATGACCTGTGCGTCTGTCTCCCACTTGATTGTCTTATTCATCTTTATACTCCAACACCTACCATAATTCCTAGACCAGAATAAATTAGTGATCAGTAAATGTTTGTTGAGCTGATTACCTAAATTGGCAGTTTTATATAGCACTGTCATTTTTTCTTTGAGAGGATTCTGTTTTCCTTGGTGCCTGTGTGATCTGACTTCACTTAGGCTAGTGGCACCAATGAGGTAACATGCTGGCATCCTCAGACTGGTAGGTAGCCTGCATCTTGGAAGGTAGCGTCAATTGGCGATTAAGAACATACTTTCTGAGGGCCGGGCGCGGTGGCTCAAGCCTGTAATCCCAGCACTTTGGGAGGCCGAGGCGGGTGGATCACGAGGTCAAGAGATCGAGACCATCCTGGTCAACATGGTGAAACCCCGTCTCTACTANCTGCTGGGGAGGCTGAGGCAGGAGAATTGCCTGAACCCAGGAAGCGGAGGTTGCGGTGAGCCGAGATCGCGCCATTGCACTCCAGTGTGGGTAACAAGAGCGAAACTCTGTCTCAAAAAAAAAAAAAAAGAACATACTTTCTGGAGTCTTACAGACCTGGGTCCCAATTCCAGCTTCACTATTTAACTAATTGCATGACCTTCAGGTGTAACCTCTATAAACCTGTTTTTCCATAAAATGGAAAATATATATATACATACCTTAAAGCAAAGTTGTAAGGATTGAATGAAATAATGTATTTATTATGTTTAACAGAATGAGTAATAGGTATCTTTCAACAGGAGGCCTGGGCAAGGCCCTCTGAATACTAGGGGACAGCTTTACCTTTAGGAGTTATAGCCTTTATTCTGGTTTTGCTAAATATGGTTTTAGGGAGTTTCAGCCATCTTTAGTAATTTACATTAGCACACTCATTCATTCCACAGTTTTTGATACAATGTCAAAACCTTTGTGAGGTACTAGATAGAGCCTGATGCAGCCCTTCGGGACGTTCACTGGAGGTAGGGCTATTGATCAGTCCACTGCAGTCACTGACTCTAAATGACAACAATCAACGATAAAATGATGAAAAATTAAGCTCTTACTTTGTACCAAGGCCTCCTCTTAAACACCTATTGTAATCCATAGGTAATATTACTATCCCCATTTTACAGATGGAGAAACTAAGACTAATTTGCCCAGAGTTACATGGCTGGTAAGAGGAAAAGTAAAGGATTTGAGCCCAGGGCATCAGTCTCCAAAGCTCGTACTCAGCCAGTGTCCCCAGAACCACTATACTCTGCTGCCATACCTCGGGAACGATATCAAAATCTTTGTGGGGGTTGGTAGGTCAGGAGAAGAGGGAGGAGTTTGAAAAATATATACCCAGCTGGGCGCGGTGGCTCACGCTTGTAATCCCAGCACTTTGGGAGGCCGAGGCAGGTGGATCACGAGGTCAAGAGATCGAGACCATCATGGTCAACATGGTGAAACCCCGTCTCTACTAAAATACAGTAATTAGGCGGGCATGGTGGCGCACGCCTGTAGTCCCAGCTACTCAGGAGGCTGAGGCAGGAGAATTGCTTGAACCCAGGAGCCGGAAGTTGCGGTGAGCAGAGATCGCGCCACTGCACTCCAGCCTGGGTAACAAGAGTGAAGCTCCGTCTCAAAAAAAAAAAAGAAAGGAAAAGTATATACCCAATATAATATACTCACTGATTTTATCAAAGTAATGACAGAAAGTAGTTGGCTGGTGGAGATTTGTAGAAGATAGTGTGAGATAGGGTAGAGAGCATAGGATTCAAAGAGCTGAGAAACACTCATCTCTTCCACCAATTCCACCATTTTGAGTTGTGCGGCTGCTGGAGCGGGAGCCCCTGTAACAGATGCCTGTACACAGGAGCCTGTAAAACACTAGACTTGGTAAACTAGTCGTCTTCGAAGCTTTGAATGGAAATCATATTCCTTCTAGATGTTTTCATGATCTTATCCAACTAATTGGTCTCCTGGAGGCCTTCCTGTTCCCACAAGGCCAAGGCAGATGTTGCAGCTTCCCCCACAACGCAGCCTCTAGTTCAGCATTCAACAGAAAGGAAGTGCTCGCTCTATGGGGCAACTATCGAGTGTTGCATATTGAATGTTGTCTCCTGTTTTAAGCAATAGCGAGAATAATAAAAGCTACCTTTGCCTCTTAAAAATATTTATAAATAAGATCTTTTTTTTTTTCTTTTGATACAGAGTCTCACTCTGTTGCCAGGCTGGAGAGCACTGGCGTGATCTCGGCTCACTGCAGTCTGCCTCTCGGGTTCAAGCAGGTCCTCTGCCTTAGCATCCTGAGTAGCTGGGAGTACAGGCGCGCACCACCATGCCTGGCTCATTTTTTGCATTTTAGTAGAGACGGTGTTTCACCATGTTGGCTGGGATGGTCTCAATCTCTTGACCTCATGATCCACTTGTCTCGGCCCCTCAAAGTGCTGGGATGACAGGTGTGAGCCACCACGCCCAGCCCAAGACCTTATTATATTTTGCTTACATTCCTCATTTTACAGGAGCGCAAACTGAGGCATGTGGCCACAAAGTGATTTTTCCAAGACATGCCAATCACAGTGTAGTATGAGCAAGCAAAGGGCAGTGAGACTCTTTATTTTTCTAGTTTCAGTTTAACGACTAGCTCTGAATAGCCTTGGGCCTGCCCCCACTCAAAAGAAAACTAAAGTGGAGCTGTCACAAATAAGTCATCTGGAGAAATAATAGAAAACTAGGTTGTTCCTCTTCCCTGGATTCTCAGGAGGAAGGGAGTGGGGAACACACAGCACTACAGAGACCTCTGCTGGAGCTCAGCCTGCTTGCCTTCAGGAGCATCTGCCAGTTCCATTTTATCAGTGAGAGTCACTGTCCTTCAGAGCTGACCCCCTTGCAGCACCACTGTTCCCAAATACACCTGCACGGGGATTAAAACTCCACCTCCCTGAATTCCCACAAGTCTATCACACTAGACCACCAGTTAAATTAATGCCGCAGAGGCCAGGCCCAGTGGCTCATGCCTATAATCCCAGCACTTTGGGACACTGAGGCAGATGGATCACCTGAGGTCAGGAGTTCAAGACCAGCCTGGACAATATGATGAAAACCCATCTCTACAAAAATGCAAAAATTACCCAGGTGTGGTGGCACGTGCCTGTAATTCCAGCTACCCGGGAGACTGAGGTAGGAGAATCACTTGAACCTGGGAGGCAGAGGTTGCAGTGAGCCAAGATCCTGCCACGGCACTCTAGCCTGGGCAACAGCCTGGAGACTCTGTCTCAAAATAAATAAACAAATAAAAAATAAATGCCACGGAAAGATAGATGTGGACATTGTACCAAAGAAAACGGTATATGCCAAACTCTTGGTGCTGCTCTCCCAGTATTTTCTTTTCAAAAGCACATGACTCTTGATGGGGGAAGATGATGAATTTTCCCAGAGGAATGTGACCTTGCAATGGAAACCCTTTGCAGCTGGTTAGGTCATGGCACCGGGCATGCTCTCACACTGCTCTGTTGGGAGCTGTTGGTATTAATGCATTGAAGCCATGGATATGCTTTAATTATAACTTCAGAAATCACCCCTAGTGCCACAATCTAGTGGCAAATATTTCCAAAAGAAACTATTAATTCCACAATGGTTTTGGGGGGATTTTTTGTTTTTCGAGACAGAGTGTGGCTCTGTCACCCAGGCTAGAGTACAGTGGCACAATTTCCACTTACTGCAACCTTCACCTCTTGGGTTCAAGAGATTCTCCTGCTTCAGCCTCCCAAGTAGCTGGGACTACAGGTGCACCTCCACACCCAGCTAATTTTTGTATTTTTTGGTACAGATGGAGTTTCACCATGTTGGCCAGGCTGGTCTCAAACTCCTGACCTCCAGTGATCTGCCTGCCTCAGCCTCCCAGAGTTCTGGGATTACAGGCATGAGCCACTGTGCCTGGCCAAAATGTTTTAAAATACAGATATCTGTAGAACTTTTTTATCTGGGGTGGTTTTTCTAGATTGAAATCTCTGCAAAAAATGAAGGAAAGGAAAGAAGTCATCTTTCATCCTTTATGGGTGGTGTCTAATGTCCCTCAGTAGAGGAAGCAGAACTTGAGAAGCCAGCTAAGCATTTGATGTGTGTTATGCCTTTATCCCCACAATAGGCCTGTGAGGTAGGTGCTATTATGATCCCTGTTTTACAAATGAAACTGAGGTTAAACAGGTTGCTTGAAGTTTATATAGCTAGTAAGTAGAGCCAGGTTTCAACCCACAGAGTCTTGACTCGCACCGATTTCTCTAGCCAACTGCATTTTTCCTTATTTGGTCTCCTCTTGGGATCTTCCTGACTGCCTTTGTCCTCAGCAGCTTTCTTTATAGTGGTGCTATCATTATTCCTTTCTTTTTACATGGAAATCATGCATATATATATATATATATATATATATGTACAGTAAAACAGAAACAAACGCTGACATGTTTTCCTTTTAATTCAGATTTCAAGTTTTCTAATTTAAGCAGTTCCATCTGTACTCTACAAAGGGAAATCTTACATTAATAAAAAAAAAAAAACCCTCAGATTGTATACAAAGAAACTCTTTTCTCTGCCTGTTCTTGGAATTATTCTTCCTCATGGAGGCTAGCATCTTTAAAAGCTTGCTACTGAATGATATGTTTTCTGGTAGCATTAGAGAGCACGATTTCTTGAGCCTTTCAAGATGAACCACAGGATAGCTAATCCTCCTCAGTTTACACTTTTAGCCCACTCCCTATAAGACATAGCCTTTCTTGAGCTTTTTTGAAATAGGTTGTTTATTCATCATCCTTTTAAAGGTTTCAGACAGAAGGCAGTGTGTTCACTTTAGACATTAAATACAAACATGAAAAGTTTCATAGATAAGATCATTGAAATTGGTATGTTTAAAGCCTCCTTGAAAATAATGTTCTTGCTTCATGAACTGGTGTTTTCTTTTTATATGCTTCATGTAGATGAATGGACAGAGGTGGACAGAAAACGAGGTATGCTATCTCTGGGCTGCATGTATTCAGTCTGCATCCACAGGTTCACTCAGACCTTTATCAGCAGGGTTTAAAGTGGGACCACTCGAAATAGTTCAAAGTAAGAAACAGGCATAAGTTTGTATTTAGCTGAGATATTGGCTATACATTTGAATCTTAAGAGAAATAAATATAGCATGTAAGATGAAAACTAAGCAAACTGACCAAAAAGCCACACTGCACCTGAGGGATCTGTCTCCTTTTCTCAGTTCCAAGCTTTGTAGGGACAGCTAGGGCAATAGCTATGCTTTGGGGTGTGTCATCCTATTTGGTAGTTAGTCCTTAAAACAACTTTGTTAAAGTGTCAAGTAACCAAAGAATTGTGTTTCGACATCAGTGACCCTCCCAGAGCCATTCTCCCAAGCACACAGAGCAACCAAGGAAAATGGAAGCATGTAACTGCATGGCTGCCAGGACTGTGGGCAGAAGGCATGACATCGTGCATGCAGTGTGGCCTCCTGTGAAAGCTTCAGTTTCCCCTTACCTACTACAAGCAGCAAACCTGAAAAAGTTGTCAACTCCTCAGAATAAAGCCTTAGACTCTCTCAGCTTTTAAATATCTCAGGTACCTTCTGTCATTTGACATTTGGGTGTGGTTTGTGCCTATCATCAGCCATACTCCTCAATATTTTAAATGCTCTCACCATACCCAGTATGCTGAGAAGATAACCTATATAATATTTAAGAGGCTGAGCGCAGTGGCTCATGCCTATAATCCCAGCATTTTGGGAAGTGGAGGCAGGAGGATCACTTGAGGTCAGGAGTTCGAGACCAGCCTGGCCAACATGATAAAAACTGTCTCTACTAAAAATACAAAAATTAGCCAGGCATGGTGACAGGCACTTATAATCCCACTTACTTGAGAGGCTGAGGCAGGAGAATCACTTGAACCTGGGAGGTGAAGGTTGCAGTGAGCTGAGATCATGGCACTGCACTCTAGCCTGGGCAACAGTAAGACTCCGCTTCAAAAATAATAATAATATTTAAGAGCACAGGCATTAAAATCAAACAGACCTCATTCTAATTTCAGGTCCATCACTAGCTGTGTGACCTTGGACTTTAAACTCTATGATTCCGTTTTCCTCCTTAATAGAATGAGGATAATACAGAACTTGAGGATAAGTGATCTGGGGGAAAAAAAAAAAGAATGAGGATAATAATTCAGAATTGACTTGGAGTTTAAATGAGCTAATGCATATAAAGTTCTAAGCCCAGTGCCTGGGACATAGAAAGGATTCACACATGGTAACTATTCAGGTGGGTTTCCTCTCTTAATTCTAGGCTACAGATTTCTTATTTCCATTAACAAGTCAATTTAGAGCAGAGGTAATTGGTAAAAACTTGATTGCTTTCATCAAGATAATTATTTCATCAGACCAGGCTTGAAGAAAACCCCAATTGAAGTGCTTGATACACTTTTATTATATTTTACAACCATCATTTGACACTTCTCCTTGAGCAATTTTTGACCTACCCCGTGATGCACTGCAGAATTTCAGGTGTGAAGTGTGGATTTTCGAGGGCTTTTCATATACATAATTGAATAACTGAAATTTATTTTAACAGAAGTGTTCAAAAATAATGAATAGAAACTGACTTCATAATCTGAACCCAAGACTAGAGGCTTGCTATATTAAGAACCTAATTACCAACTTTCTGAAGCTCCAGTGAAAAAACCCTTCCCTCCCCTGCCTTAGTCTCTTCCTAATCAAATATGGCTCCTGGTATATTCCTGCCTCTTGAAAAGTATGCAGAACTCATTTGCATGCCAAAAACCAACACTTAGACTAATGGGTGGGTCTGATTAAAACCATTTCTTCAGGGATGTTAGGGTGAAGGGAAAAAATAAATTTTTTTTAAAAACTGTTTCTCAGGTTTAACTTTAAGATGATGTGCTGCTTCTCTAGGGCAAGGATAACATCTCCTTTTTTATGTCTGTGGTGTTGATTTCAGTGTCTGGTACGTAATAGGTCTGCCTCAACCAAGGGCTGGGTGAAGCAAACTGTAAGACAAAAACATGTTAACGTGTGCCTCCATCTTCTCTCCAAAGAACGAAATGAGAAGAGGAGGCCCTAGGTGTCCTGGCCCAACCATTAAACTGCCATTTCCTCTTTGGGGACATTTGCACTCACTGCTCTGCCCACAAGGACAGACCCTGCCATCCTCTTCACAGCAGGTGAACTGTCTACAAGCTTTTGTGCCAGGAGCCATGGTGCTGCAAAGCTTCTTCACTTCCCCGGGCAAAGGCTTCATTTTGTTTTTTACTTTGCCCGAGTAGCTAACAATCACCTTGGGGTATTCTTCGTCCAGAACTGATTTATCTGGGTCTAAGCTGTTTTCCTCGCTCCTAATAAGGGCTCAAAGACCCCAGAGAAATGACTCTGCATCTAGGTGAACAGTAGCTCTTTGTAAGCATTAACCTAACCAGAGTTGATGTGATGCTTTAACTTGAATTCTTCTTCTTTGGCACTCCTCCCTGGCTTACATAAGCCTGTGGAAAATTCTTCATATTCCCTCTTTTGAGGACTTATGTGTGGCTTTTCAGTTGTGCCTGTTTCCTTGCAAATGCTGCATTTTATGTAGGCTATGGTAAGGAAAAGGTTAGAAAACCCAGTTTATTGCAGGTTCTTTCTTATTGGTCAGGCATGAGGCAGACCTTAAAGAGTTCTGTGTCCCTCTGAGCTGTCCACGCTGGGGAAATGTTAGGGCACATCAAGGGCAGGCTGTGGTGGTTTGAAATTGTCAGATGTCAGGGACACCCTGTGTTGGTAATGGATTTGGTTCTTCCTCACTGAGTGATAGGAACAGTCTAGAATAAAAGCTAAAGGTCAAATGTGAGTTTAGCATTTCGGTAAGGAGCCACAGTCAGTTCATTTGTGTCACTGGGGTGTGTGTGTTGGGTGGGAGGGTTGTATACCCTCTTCCCTCTCTCTGTAGCCCCTCCATTTAAGATTTAAGTACAACCAGCCCTCAGCTCCCTGTTCCTCCATAAAATGCATTGAAATGCTTTAAATTACTGGTCTGAACCCTCTGGGTACTTCTGTCAATTGCTTACAGGTAGAGAGTGCCTAAAATAGTCACTTCACTGCTCTACCTTGCCTCTGCTCTAAAGATGCATGGCCACGAGCAATCATCTGGAGTGTCCTTTGTGTTCAGCAAAAGAAGGAAGAATTTTCCATAATTCAGTAATAACCACTCATGTTTAATAAGTGATTTTGTATAATTAAGTAACCCAGTTTTCTTTCAGATTTGAATTTCTGTAGGTGTATATTCTCAGTATCCACATATGCTCACATTTAGGCCAGGATAACTGGTTTAATTAAGGATAATCTATGTTCAGCTATGTCTGTTCCTATTTCTCATACCTGAGGGTTTTCCTGGCCCTTAGCTAGTGATATTTTATTCAGTAGTGCAAAATATCTAGATGAATGAAGACCTGAAACTATAGACACTTTGGTTTGCACACTTCTTTCTCACCAGAGGGAAACTTTCCATTTGAACAGGAGTGTGAGATATAGCACTATACTGTAATATCAATATTATAGATCAAATGTGGAAAGTAAGGCATTCAAAAATGGTGCTACTTAAAGTACATGTCTTGGCCGGGCGCGGCTCACGCCTATAATCCCAGCACTTTGGGAGGCCAAGGTGGATGGGTCACAAGGTCAAGAGATGGAGACCATCCTGGTCAACAAGGTGAAACCCCATCTCTACTAAAAATATAAAAATTAGCTGGGCATGGTGGCGCACGCCTGTAATCCCAGCTACTCAGGAGGCTGAGGCAGGAGAATTGCTTGAACCCAGGAGGCGGAGGTTGCGGTGAGCCGAGATAGTGCCACGGCACTCCAGCGTGGGTAACAAGAGCGAAAATCCGTCTCAAAAAGAAAAACAACAACAAAAAAAGTACATGTCTTGTGCAGACATTACAAGTGTTTTAATCTCTAACCAGTGGATAGACTTATCTATTTTCATG